ACGGTAACAGGATCGGTCTGTTCTCACGGGATCTATCTGGTGTGCTGTCTTATCCGGTTATCTGTAGTTCAGCGGTTTCCTGAATGATTAAAAGTGATTGTCAGCTTGGTGTCTTGCATTTTGAGGTGCCCAATCCGGTGCGATTTCACACACATCTTTCACTTGTGATTTAAACACCCCGAAAGCCATAGTTTTAGAGAAGCTCTTTCGGGCACACCATTCTTTAGGTCAGTAACAAATGTGATCGTGTCTGGAATTCACGGATCAACTGGTGGCCTTGAGAGTGGGAATGTGAACATTATTCTGAACCCACTTGTCTGTTTCAAAACACGAAATGATGATAACTTCTGACCGTTTTTATTAAAAACACAACACAATCCCTTTGGAGTTGAAGAATTCGGCTTGCTAGAGTCTTGCACTATTTGACCGAGGGTTTTAAGTTGTTTGTGAGGTGATATTTTACCGAGTAGATATGCCAATCTGTTTCTAACTCACACAGTCATTTTCCTCCAATAATGATAATCACGAAAACATTCCAGCCATGAACTCTAGATCATATCATCTTACGAGAAACCTCGAAACAATTTTTATTTCTATTTATATCTCCCAACATTCCTCCACCACCATTCTTTTGTTGTTGTTGTTTTCATTGCTATTTTATTTTTTGTTGTTGCACTTTAGATTTAATTGATAAACATTTTTTTCCTAGAATGCTAATTATCTCTCTCTCTCGCCAAAAGCGAGACCCTCTCATTTATTCAGTGGGGTTTTATTCATGGGGTTGTTTGCCCTTGACAGATGGAGAGATGTTCGAAAGGCAAAGCAAAACATGTCAACGTCTGCTCGCCTCCCAGATGATTCATTCGGAATTACCGGTGACTGTACTATGTGAAATGGGACTATTTATCAGAAATAAATCCAATATCAGTTGTTCCTCACATTGTTGTATCCGATATAAAGTTATTCACTTTTCAATGCCTTCTATTTCGGGCATAAATCCCGCACGCTCTACAGAGTGCAGTAGTTTTACGGTTGGAAGTGAATTTTTAATCCAAACCCTTTTAGCGCTCAGCCATACTCTCGTCGTCTTGTTGCATCTTACGATAAACGCCTGTGCATCTTCCGAGTAAAATCTATTTCTTCTCGCAGCGGAATCAAAACGAGTTGGTAAAATTGCATGCATACGGCTGTGCGAGATTTTTATAAGTAATCCATCCCATGGGGATATACATCAATGATTGGCTACTAGTTGGAATTTCTGGGCGACCCTTGCATATCGGATATGAGATTTGTTCTTCAAATATACCGTAAAGAAAACTCTTGACAAATCATCATCGTTTTGGAACCGGCAGCCTAACGTAAAATATCCTTTGTTTTACGTTCAGCGAAAGCTACTACTCGGGTTCAACTAGTGATTGTTAAAAATCGTATGACATAAATCTCTGCAGTGGATGCCTCTTATGACAGTCCTTTGAGGTCTGAAAATAAAGCTCAGAACATATTTATTCATGACATTTAGTTTTCTTAGTCTGCGTACTGTCATCTCATCTACAGATATTTTTCAGATTTGACCTTGTCAATCGTTCAACGTATACTGATTATTTTGTATTCAGATGAAGATTTGCGGGATATTCCGAAGTTGCCTCAACCTATCCTGGTTCCATCTTAGGTTCAAGGCCTATTCATACAACACTCATCCCTCAAACAGTAACAATCAGTTCGCTTTCAACTACACCTTTTAAAACATCGTTAATTATCCGCGGGTATTTTTAGTAATGAAACTACTGAGTTGAGAAATAGGCACTTTCCTCGACATACAGTAATCGGTTTCTCAGTACCTAACCTAGCACAGCGCATTTGAAGAATAATGCAGTGTAAACTATTATCTTTTCTGTATTTAGTTTTCTCCGTCAACTCCCTCTCTCTGTAAATAATAGATATCCAATTTCCAAAAGAGCAGATTTAACCTGGGCACGTTTGTCATTTAGGTCATTTATACAACAAGTCCTTCTCAACTGACCGATGATTACAACGATAAAATTCTTTTATTTGTCTGCCTGGGTAGTTGATGCTTTTTCTGCCGGTAGGTTCTTTTCATGGTTGTTTTTGTTTCTCAGAGGCCCGTGTTCGACGGCTACCTATTAAGCACTGAGGAACCACTCGCTCCTTGGTATTATACTGCGTCAGAACCAAACAAGGTTCGGTTAGCGCCAATTGATGTGATATGTATGCATTTATATTTCTCAATAACACGGCGTTGCAGTATGAGGGAATATTAGGCCAACACTTCGATTATTGCGGTTAATCTTTATCAAGGCATTGTTTCAAACCAGTGATTTGGGGACTCGGGAGCACAGTTTCCCCCTAACAGGCATCAATATGAAAGCAAAGTACAATGTATTCTGGATTGTTTTGCTGCCAATGGACACGAGTTTACTGTAGCATAAGTGACCCTTTATATGCATATATTTGATCAGAAAATACATAATATTGGGCCCAAAAAAATTACGATCAACTTCACTCACCAAACGCGATCGTTACCTAGGTGTTGTCAAAGCGATATACCGTTCGTCTTATTTACACACTTCGTAAAAATACTTTTGAATGGCTAGTTCATCGGCGTAGTTGGGAATTCTGGTACGATTTATGTGGTATATAGGATCCTGAATACGTCGCTAAGGATGCTTATTTCAGCAAGATGTTGGGTAATGATGAATGGACTGTCTTTCGTACTTTTCACCAGTAACGTCTTATGATCCGAGTTTCAATTCATGTAGATGGCTAGATGTGTATCAATAATAAAACTCGGGTTTCACGCCAATCCGGTAAAACCACACCTATCTGTGGGATCTCCACCCCCGCTCGCTGATTTTCTGTCAACTTGATTACATGACTGTTCTGTGTGTTCCTTGCAGCAGTCATTGCAGTTGATTTATTGATGCATCACACGCCGCCAACATTTCGTTGTTTAATTTCCTCATTAATATATCAGCCTATAGAGGGTCAAGCGATGAGCCTACAGTTATTACAGCACTTTGGCGAGGTGTGTCGAACGCATATCGGACATCAAATGCACATTGTAGAAAGATTGCTGTTGTTGCTTGAAAAGAATTTTCCCCACATACTTGTCATCCCGATGGACCATTCGGAATTAGTCGCTCATTTTATGTGGGACTAGTAGAGAGGTATGCATTCAATCAACCTAAATACACCTGAATACGTGCACCAGGGATACAAAGACAGTCAAAGTGAACGAACTTTATAGACGAGTGTTATGAATGTTCCTGAATCGACAACAAATATTGCATCTTTGTGTAAAGGCCACATGTCCGCTACTCAATTTTAACAGTTATGCTCACCAGTTGCACTTTTGACGGTGGAATTTCGATTGAACAAAGGAACAATATGGGAACACCGTTGAATCATTTGGGACCCATGTTCACCTTCCGCAAGTATGATTTGGGGTATTTTATTGATCACGGAATCTCTTCCAAATTATTGCTTGCACTCGGGTTATTCATTAAATAAAGGAAAGTAAGAAAGTATTAATATTGTCTTTATTATAACTACGAGAAGTTCGGACCTTAGAAATTGTCAATTTTGTGTTATTTATCTCCAACATCTCCAATGTCTTTCCACCAGACAATTAAAAAATATTAAGTTGAAAATGACAAAATCTGATTGTACTTATGGATGGATGGATGGATTTGAATTAGCCGGAGCATATAAAGTGAAGTTGAAGATAGTCCTCGTCGGAAATCCTCCGCTAAGAGGGTAAGCTGCACAATACCTTTTGTGGTCTCATCGCCGATAGGCAAACGTCCAAAAGATCGGGTTCTAACACAATTAAGATGACTCAGATTTGGTGAATAAGGGATCATGGTCGAGCAACGGCTGTGTCCGAGGACGAGATCGGCATTCGCTTAGCAGGCGTTGCCTGTATAAAACGCAACAAGAGTCTGATGACAGTACTACGATTTGAAAAATACCATCTTTGTTCCGTTTCATTCACTCGACTGGAAATTATCTTTTCTCGAAGTAACGTTGAAAGAGTGGAAAATACTAGTTAGAACAAAGTAGATATGTCAACTTGAACGGAAAGTCGTTCGAAGTAACGGAACTACAAACGGTATTACCATGAGAATGACCTGCGTCGACGATATCACAACTTGCTGCTAACAAGCGATCTGTACCTTTGTGTCTTTCCATAAAATAAACTTCTTTTTCACAAGCGTCTCTAGACAGATTCCGTTGAGATCCGTGCTCCGCGGGGGCAGTAAAATCTACTAACTTAACGATGCAGCAATTCACGAATTGAAAGAAGTTAGACTGAATGCTTTCAGGTGTTTATTGTCTGCTAAATAATTCCCACCTGGTTACATGGCTGTCATATTATCACACTTTCTGGTTCATTGTAACCTCACACGGTGAAAGTGCAATATGGGGAGATAAGCTTAGGGCAAAGCAAATTACAGGTTTGCGATTAAACAATGGGCGCCAAAACAGGTCCGTGTGTGTGTGTGTGTGTGTGTGTGTGCGTGCGCACGTGTGCTTACGTGCGAGCGTGCGGGCGTGTGAGAACGAAAGTGAGATTAACGAATGTTTCCAAATTGAACGCACAGCGAGATCACTTACGTCTAAAAGATGTGACTATATCAACGATCACTACAAATCCTTGTGCAAAAACGTGCGTGGAGGAGAATTCATCATTGGCCACATGACCCCTATTTTGTGATTGATGTGGGAACGCCAGAATATTGTTGTGAATTTCACAAGAAACATTTTTCCAATTCTCAAAAGCCAATTGATCGTACATTTTTGCACAGGATTGTTCTCAATGTGGCTAGATGCGTTTCTGGGTTGCGTTTAGGGCGGGGAGAGGGCTGTCTCAGTGATTCATTTGATCTTTGTCAGCGCGCGATCATAATGTGTACTCCGTCCGTGTCACACATGTTTTTTTGGCTGATTCGCAGGAATCATATGAGGGTGGGTAATACAGTTTACTTATAAACCACAATCGGTTTCATACCCGGTTCTGGTGGCGGTGCGACTTGTTTCGCGTGGCGTTCACAATACAATTTCTCGTTGATGTAGAAGTAGCCCACATTGCGCAATCCAATACCACACTTGCAACATTTTAGACACTCCGGATGCATTGGCACACGTCCCTGAACTTTCACGAACACATCACGAATAAAATCACCACATGAACCACAGTATTTTGTTCCAGTATCAGCACGATTTGGTGCACCTCCAGCCGGTCTAGCTGCACCTCCCATCGGACGGAATCCGGTATGTGATACGGAAGAAACGGTGCGTTCGAACGTTTCCGTCATATTCGCCTTATTATATAACCCCATTGGAGAGTTGTAACTAGAGTGTTTCACCTGTCTGAAACGACCGTCGGCACCTTGGGCAGTAATTGCTTGACCCGGTGCCGGGGGAACGTGTCCGAAAGGTGTTGGAGCCACATTGTGCTTGACACCAATTGATGACTGGTCATAATTTTGTGATCCGGATTCCAGACTTATGTGCGTATTCAGTCCATCCGTATAACTTGGTTTCTCGTTAGGAAGAATTTGTGGTTGCCATATGGTTCGTGGACTAGGCTGTGGTTGCGAGGGTGATGATTGAGGCACCTGACGGTTCCATGTGTTCGATGGCATCATGGTGATTGGGGCTGAGGACTGCACGAGATGTGCACCACCACGTTGAACAATCATTTCCAAATCGTTACTGGATCGAATAATTTCCATCTTTGCATCCTCATGACGCATCCATTTTGTTTCAGACTGATTGATACGTACCACATGATCACCAGATCGTAGACCGCATTGATCGGCCACAGATCCAGGATTGACACGTTGTATATTTACTGGATGACCCACATCTGTTCCACCTTCGAGACGAAATCCCCATGGCACAGAACTATCCTCCCGGGATAGACGAATGGTGTAAAGTTGCGAAGCCATTACACGAAGCTCAGAGTGTCTGATCCGAAACCGGCATTCGCCGCAGTCAAATGGAAATGGTTGGGCCTTACTGGATCTCGTTAGTAAGGCCTATAGAACGGGGCACACACACAACAGCATTCCAACTGAGTGCGTGAATGTCTGTGTGCTGGAAGCCCCACCCAGCTGTCTATGCCCTGCCGATATGTGGGTTAGGTAGCACAACAGAGATGAGCCAAGGCAGTGGGATACACATGGGTTGTGTGAATACACATATGCACACACACATACACGTGCACGCAAATGAGGTACGGATCAATTGGTCACAGCAGTCGACCTTGACGGGCGGATTGTGATTGGTCAAGTTTATACGAAACACGCCCTGAAGCGAATCGGTGCCCCAATGGCCGATGAGTGGGGCACGAAACAGGAATTTGGGACGAACCACAACAAATTTCTTGTGTCATGTGACACGAGGTACACACAAACACACACAAGTAGGGCCACAAATGTTCATAGACAGCTACACGTCCAAGAATTCACATAATTGGTTATTTTGTAAATGGCAAACCAGCAGTTTGCATACAAGAGACAGCGCAAGATAAATAACAAAAAAGGACAAAATTCAGTGATTTGAAGCTGATGACAACGAGTACCTGACGCTCATGGATGCTCATATCCCAATAGTTCAACATGAATTAACTCTAACCTATTATGTAAAACATCCTTTTCCCTTTATCCATATCCTCAACACAAAAAGACATATGTCTGCAGAATGGACAATGGCCACGAATTTCGTGTGCTCTCATTCTGCTGCAAACACACATTTATATGATCATATAAAACGAAGAAACATAAGATTGGTAATGAATCATTTGAACAAGGTGGTGGACAAGTGAGTTACGTGATCTCTGTTTGGTTAGGGACATTATTTCACAAGTTGAACTCATTGCATTCCAATGTCAAACTGACATTAGAGTGTGAATTGGAAGCCAAACTTCCATTTCCTGACTTACTACTCAATCGACTGTCAGACGGGAGGCTACAGATATCTATGTACCGAAAGCCTACCTGGACAGGACAGTATTTACACTTCAGGAGTTTCTGTCCTGTGGGATACATTCGTGGTCTGGTACGCACTCCATTTCACAGGGTTCGACAGCTATGTAACCCACAAGTCCTATCAGATGAACTACAGACCGATTGCTCCATGCTTTGCTAGGCAATGGCTATCCCATCACAGTCATTCACAAGTACATCAAGACGATCAACGATAAAGCCTATATCCCTAATGGCTAAGGAGAAAGATGTCTATATAGAACTACCCTTCAACGGAGATGATGTAATAACAAACATATCTCGTCATTTAACACGCCGTTGAAAGGACGTACAGTGCCGCAAGACTAATGATTGTCTACGAGACCTTTCGTTGTCTCACACGCACTAATCTGGATCGAAAAGGCTTTAATATTACCTGCAACTGCATCTATTCATTTCAATGTTCC